GCCCCCAGAGCCGCCCAGCCCTGGGTGCACCCGTGCTGCCCTGCTCAGCAGGCTGCGGTCCCACTGCCCCCGCCCCAGGCACCACAGGCTGCAGTAGGGCCGGGCTGCTGTCTCCCAGGGATGTCCTCCCGAGAAAAGAAGGCTCCAGGGAGAGCTTATAGCAGTCTTCCAGTGCTAAATGGGGGCAACAGGAGAGATGGGGAGGCACTTTTTATCAAGGAGTGTAGTGACAGGACAAGGGGCAGCAATTTGAATCTGAAAGAGGGTAGATTTAGATTAGACATTAGGAAGAAATTTTTCACGGTGAGGGTGGTGAGGCACTGGAACACGTTGCCCAGAGAAGCTGTGGATGCCCCATCCCTGGAGGTGTTCAAGGCCAGGCTGGATGAGGCTTTGAGCAACCTGGGCTAGTGGAAGTGCAAGGGCAGTGGAACTAGATGATCTTTTAACGTCACTTCCAACACAAACTGTTCTATGATTCTATGATTCTGGGGACCCTGGGCTGCATCCAATATCAAAAGGGGGAAGCCATCCCATAATATTCCATGCAACCTTGTTAACCGTATGCCGGCTCTCAGGCTATGAGGGCAGTGCAGGACCCAACCCTGCTGCCAGTTGCCCAGAGTCTCAGGTGAGCAGGGCACATGTCCCACAGGCAGAGGGCTGGGAGGCGTGGTGACACCCCAGCTGTGGGTAGAGGTCCAGGGCTGATCCCCATCCCAAGTGTGCAGGCCAGGGCTGGAGCTATGTCCCCATCCAGCCCCCACTCCAGAGCCAACCCCACGAGATGCTCTCCAGGGCCCAGCAGCATGGGCCAGCCCCAGGACAGAGGGCCCTTTCAGCTCATAGGAATGCAGCTCCATCCTGTCCCCAGCGTGTCACCATACAGCCCCGGGGACTTGGCCTTTCTTTACACTGCCAGGACGATGTCTGCACCCAGCACCCACGTGAGCAGCAGGCTGTGCCCTGTCCCCGGAGCACACCAGAACATTGTGACCATGGTCAGAGGCTCCAGGCAGGGCACAGGGCTACAGAGCTGGGCGTCATCTCAGCTCAGAACCCATCCGCCGCAGGTCCCAGCCCCAGCACAAAGCCCCAGACACTCAGTGAGCGCCAACGTTGCTTTATTTGGAAGGTGAATCCATAGGCACCGGAGCGGGGGCTGGAGGGGGACAGAGCTGGTGTGACAGGCAGGGCTGCAGAAAGCTGGGGAAAGGCACTTATGGTGGCAGAAGCCCCTCTGGGCACCTCGGGCAGCCTGGGCCAGGGGCTGCACCAGGGCAGGTGGGTACAGGCAGTGTCCGGGACCAGCCCTGACACAGGGTGGGGACAGCACGTCCTGCCCACGGAAGGGGCAGATGGCACAGGGGCTAGCAGGGCTCCCAAACATGAGGCAGGATCGGCTGGGACAGCACGTCATGATGGAATTGGTGACCCAGCGCCAACCCCAGGCCCCTCCAAGCCCTGGGGGGATCATGTCTGCTGCTCTCCACCCCAACAAAAGCACCAGGGAACTCCAGGAAACAGCCAGAGCTTGTGGCCAGCTGCTGGGGACACCCGTCCCACCGATCTGAGCCCACGCAAAGACTGGGCCAGACCCTCCTTCACACCAGGAGTGACGGAAAGGACCTGCCTCCAGGCAGGACAAGGAGGGCTTGTGGCAGGTTTCCTCCTCCAAAAGTTACCAGTCTCTGGCTGCCCATTGTTCCAGTTGTCCCGACACGGCCCCCTCAGGGCTTGGCATCGGGTGGGCTGTGAGGCTGATCCAGGGCTGGCTGGCCCTGCTGCTGGTGTCTTCTCCTGTTCCGTGAGACAGGCTGTTTCCCCGCAACACCCAGCCCCAGCTCCCCCGCAGCCACCCATGGCCACAGTGCTGGTGGCAGCCCAGCGCTGCCGTGCTGCCTCGCTCACCCTTCCTCTCCACTCCACCACGGTCTCTGGGAAGCGCAGGGTGCCGAGATGGAGCCAGAGAGTCCCCAGACGAGAGTTTTCTGGGGTGATAACCAGCCAGCAAGGCTGTGCCTGTCCCCAACGGAGCAGCCAGGCCCCGGGGCAGGCTCAGTGGCTCTGGGTGGGCCAGAGCTTACCTCACTGCAGGAGGGCAGGGGGAGAAAACAACCCAGCGCCCCGCTCCCTTCAAGCCCAGGGGCACCTGACCCCATCCCAGGGCAGCACCGAACCCCAAGGCTGGAGGAATTTACCCCCCGCCCAGTGTCACAGGACCAGGCTACGGCCCCGCTCGCCCATTCCTTGCCCTGCAGCAACAGACGCCTCACTGCCCTGCACGCACTCAGCCCCCAAACAGGACAGCATGTCCGGGGGGCTGGGGTGACGCTGGGTCAGGCTGTGGAGGACCTGGGTGTCTGCACATCCCCAGAACGCAGGGCAGGGAGGGGCTGAGCCGCACGAGGCTCCAGGAAG